TTTCTCTCTCTTTCATTACCAACTGAGCTGGCTAAAATTAGGAATTGGGATTCAATCAGGTTTTTGACTTTATATTAAGTTTATTTAGGTCATTCATGTGTTTCACTAAAGAATCTATGTTTAGAAACTCTTCGGCTACATCCACAATACAAGGTTTCGTTTGAAAACGCATCAACTCAGCTACAGAAATACCTGGCGTCCACACTACTCCAGAGTTTTAGAGCCGCTAAGACGGAGAAGTTTGGAAACGCTGCTGGCTCAGTTTTAGTTTGAAAATTACAGTGCTGCATTTTAGTCTGGGCGCCAGAAACTGAGATGTTTGGAAAAGATGAAGTAGGTGCTCACAACCACTGGCTGATTGTGTCTTTTTGGTCAGGACGTAGCCTTTGCTTGTTTGTCAGGCTCCTATCACATGACCCCCTTCTGAAAGAACGTTTTCAGGTATGTTATTAAAACACATGCAAATGTAGTAGTTTAGACGTAGCCTTAGTGCTGGCAAAGGTTATGGAATAGTTTCTACAGTTAAAACCAAATCCACAACACTGACAAATCACTTGCAGTTGCAGTTTTAGCAGCACAGTATACGTACCTCCAGCTGTTCCTTCTGGGTGAAGCCTTTGACCCCCTTCCCAGCCGAGGCCTGGCCCATAAAGGTCATGACCTTGATCATCGGAGCGTGGCGGTTCAACATGTCGGCGATCTCCTGCACACTTTCCCGGAAAGATGAGAAGATCATCACCCGTGTGCTCTCCGCCCGAAGAGCTGAACCGGGACAATAATGACACAGAAACGGCTGATTTCTTATGGTGCTTGAACTTATAATATGTTGGATTCAGATGCTGGAATGATTTATAAAGCTCTAAGTGAACACAGTTTTATCAGAATTTGTTTTGGTAATATAACATATAAATACTCTATTAAGGATACATTCACTGCTTTTGCTTATTGAGAAGGACTCTGGACAAGGGGCTTGCACATATTTGAGGGAGGATGGACAACACAGTACTGTATATTTACCAGGAACAAAACAATCGAAACCCAAACTTTGCATCTATAATGCAAAAGAACAGGATTAAACTACAGTGCTGTATTAAGAGAATGAAGAGAATTACAAATTCAGATTTCAATCAGAACAATCATTCCGTACAGGAGTCACAGCCTGCGACTGCTATAACAAGTAAATCACCATCATTGTCTGCTGAGCTCTCAGCCCACTGTCTGAAATGCTGCAGCACCACCCCTTCCAGTTTCTCCAGTTTGGGGTGACTGTAAATGAACGGCTCATCTGGACCTGGAAATAATAATCATAGAGGATGCTAATCAAAAAGAGGCAGTGTATTCATAGATAAACTTTAGAGCAACATGTAAATTCAAACATTTTGTTTCTAGATTTGGAGGAACAGCATTCAGATTAAAGCACAAACGACACAGGCTCATCCATTCAGGAAAGTGCAAAACTATGACTGAGATGATATGAATAAGTGCTCAGGTACCAGCAGACGGCTTCACAAACATCACTTCCATCTCATGGTAGAGGTCCATGAAGGTGGGAGTCCTCTGTAGCTCATTCCTCGCCCTGGACATCTCTGAAACAAGGATCGCAAACATGTTTTACAAATCATACACTGTATATTATTTTGTGCTTATGCTGCTGGTGGCGAGGATTAAAAAAAATCGGGGTTATCAAAAACTTTGGTGGAAATCTGTTACAGTGCAAAATGACCCCAGAAATAAATTCACCGACCTCTGGATCTGTCCACAATTCCCTGGATGTAAAAAAAGAGCGATCGCAGCCCCATCTGCATCAGCAGCTCGTATCCGTGGTACATGCTGATGCAGAGGGCAAAGTCGCCCTCCAGCATCCCCTGCTGTGGACCCTGTGGAGAGCAAGAGGTCAGGGGAGTCCATGTCACCACTGTGAGGCCGAGGTCAAAAATGTGCTGGAGAAATAAACTATTCAAGTTATAGGAGCTGTGCATGCATCAGCTGTAACAATAACATCCTTGATCCCGTTTCTACTGTCTTTAAAAATGCAGTCAAATTTAAATTTCTATTTGCAATTAAGATGTTATATAATATTTAAATTATTCTATCATCTTTTGTAAGTTAAATTAAATCTGTAAATTTGTACTTAAAACAGCCTACCAGTGATACTTAAAGACACATACTGAAGCTGTGTAACACACAGTTTGTAACATTAACACTGGCCAATCACAGAGCAGACACGAGTCCGTGCCTTGAGATGCGGTGGTGGGTTTTTGCGGAACTGGTCTCTGGCGAGGATGAGCTGGTATTTGCTGAGAGTCCTCAGGTCCTTGTGAGCCATCACCCGGTTCTGCACCAGACGAGACATGAATTTCTCCAGCACCTGTCAGGAAGAGCAACACACACACATACGTCAATAATTGGCCATTTCCTGTGTTAAGGGTTAATGCATCAGACTGAGCAGCTAGCACCTTACTACATAAGACTGCAACAGTACACACACACACACACAC